AGAAAAAGAAACTTGTAAAATTATACAAAAGAAGTAAATTGTGGCGTAGTATATACAATTGCTGGTGAAATGAATCATTCTTTTTTTCATTCATTGGTTGTCATATAATACTACTGGAGGACGGCAGGTAGAAACAGAACGATGAAACTTTGAAATAAAAAAAAACTTGGAAAAAGCCAACTCTCAAAACACCAACACTCTATATAAGTTAAAATCATTTTCTTTGTTCTTTATTGATTAAAAACTACAGATATTATGGATACAGAGCATGTTTTAATGACAACAACAACAACAACTGTTACTGTTGCGAAAACTACACCATCTGACGATACAAGCATAAAACAACAACAACAACTTCTATCTACTGATACACTTCAAAACTTTCTGGTGGTGTGGCTTGATGCCAAAATTGAGGACAAGGATAATGACTACTATATCTATTCTATCAACAAACTAAAAGAAGTGTTCAACAAGATAAATGCATTTAGTGATGTAAATGAATGTATCGATTTCATGACTAACATTCAAGACGAGAAAATAATTATAATCATCGGTGATTTCTTCGTTCAAACAGTTGTTCCCATCGTACAAGACATTTCATCAATCGATACCATATATATTTTAGTTGAGAACCAAATTCAACATGAAGATTTGACCAAACAATGGTCAAAAATAAATTGTGTATTTAAAGATATTGCTTCAATCTGTGATACACTTCACCAACCTACAGTTGTTGATGATAGGGAGTTAGTCAACATTAGTTCTGTTTCAACTAATCATGAAAGTCATCGAAAAAATCAAGATCAGTTAGATTCATCATTATTGTATAGACAAGTTTTAAAAGAAATTTTATTTACCATGTACTTTGAAAAAAAACGTTTTAATCAATTTATTTCCTATTGCCGAGAAACTTTCAAAGACAATAATTCCCAAATGGCAATTGTCAACAAATTCGAACACGAATATCATCAACATGATCCAATATGGTGGTATACATTCAATTCGTTTCTTTATTCGATGATGAATCGATCGCTACGCATGATGGAAGTAAATCTTATCATTAATATGGGGTTTTTCATCCAAGATCTTCACAATAGTATTTCTAAGCTTCATGCTCAACAGTTTCCTAAAACTTCATCTTCAAATTCATTGACTGTTTATTATGGTCAAGGAGTGCCACAAACATATTTTGATCAACTCCTCAAGAAACAAGGTAGTCTATTATCAATTAATTACTTTTTGTCGACTACTCCTAATCGAGAAGTAGCTCTTGCATTCGCTGAGGCTAGCCAAATCCAATCCGATCTAATTGGTATACTCTTTGAGATAGTTATCAATTCATCAGTATCGTCTATTCCTTTTGCCAAAATTTCTAATATCAATCATTTCAGCGACGAAAAAGAAATCCTATTCTCTATTTATTCCAGGTTTCATATTGAATCAATGAAACAGATCAATGGAAATAGTCGTCTCTGGCAAGTTAATTTAATATTGACCGATGCTAATGATCCAGAAATTCATACACTTACTGAATGCATGCGCGAAGAGATCTATTCAGAAGCAAAAGGATGGGATCGTTTGGGTGTATTTTTTATTAAATTTGGAAATTTTGACAAAGCTCAAGAGGTATATGACATCTTACTTGGTGAAACAACGACTGATGAAGAAAAAGCACTCATGCATCATAGACTTGGAATACTAAAGAATAGTCAAGGTAGATATACAGAAGCGATGAACTATTTTGAGCAATCTATTGAAATTAGAAAGAAGGTTCTCTCATCAACGGATAGAGATTTGGCTTCATCTTACGACAACATTGGTTTAGTATATAAAAATACCGGTGACTATTCGAATGCCTTATCATTTCATCAAAATGCTTTGGAAATTCGCCAGAAAACTCTTCCACCAAATCATCGTGATTTGGCTACGTCTTACAATAACATTGCTTTGGTGTATAGCCATATGAATGACTATTCTAATGCAATGTCATTTCATCAAAAAGCAGCGGAAATTCGCATGAATATTCTTCCATCGTATCATCCTGACATGGCTAGTTCTTATAACAGCATTGGTTCCTTTTTTGAAAACACGGGTGATTATTCAAATGCACTATTATTTCATCAAAAAGCATTGGAGATTCGTGAAAAAATTCTTCCTTCAAATCATTCAAGTTTGGCGGCATCTTATGGTCATATTGGAATAGTTTTGTCTGAACTTGGAGAACATGAGAAAGCTGTCTTACATTGTGAGCAGGCTCTCAATATAGTAGAAAATTCACTACCCGCTAATCATCCACATATTCAAGTCTATAGAGATAATCTAGAATATGTTAAAAGTAAATCTTAATCGATTTTTACTATGTTCGAAACAATGAATATAATAAATAATAATTCGATTTGATTGAGAATAAACTAAAACAACATCCACTCACAATATAATAGCTAATAGAATGTTTTTTTTTGTGTTGAAAATGAAGATATCCAACAGTTCGATAGCAAAAGGAAAAATGTATAAAAGAGTTATTTGAATCATACCTTGAAAATTCTCGTTTCAATTTGACAATAATTAATTGCATGAAACAACGAAAATGATTGTTGAGTTAAAAATAGTCATAAATGAACACATTGGCGACACTCGATGTGAATGAGTGTGAAAACAACCATACCTACACCTTTTATAAGCAAATCGAAATATATAGATCATTAGTGATGTACCCATGTGATACAAACCGAAAAACAGCCAGTAGTTAACTGGTGCTTGTTTATGTAGTTAGTCGATAGCGTTTGCCTATATTTTTTGAATGTCTATATAGTAAAATTTAACTAATATTGTTAGATTCATATGATTTTTATTTCAACCGAAATAAAAATAGAAAAATAATGAGAAAAAAAAATAGGAAAAAAAATTTATAAAAAATGAATATAAAAATGAATAAAATCAATAAAGAAAAATGAAAGAAAATAAATCTAAAAATAAAGAAATACCAAACTAATAAAATATTAAAAAGTGCATCTGAAAAAGGTATAGAATAAAACAGAAACATAATTGAATCAAAAAATTTGCAAAGAATTAGTATAAAAATTAAATACTAAAAAGTTAAATATAAAAAGAATTAATGTTTACTTGGACTGTCCTTGTTAAGATGTTCTAATGTCTTTCAGCAAGCAAAAAAACTACATGTATGTATATATACATGTGCATGTGCGTATGTGCTGTATGATATATTTCTTTTTTTATAAATTTTTTTTCCTATTTTTTTTTCTCATTATTTTTCTATTTTTATT